CTGAGCCGCCGCTCTGCGGCTGCTGTGAGCCCCTGCACCCTACCCACCCATGCTACCTTGTCATGGGCATTGGGGTCCCCGCCGTCCGTCAGGTACTTGTCGATCAGGGCCTCCTGGTTCTCCGCAGCTGCCTTCAGGAACATCTCCAGGTCCACAGACTCCAGCTGGGCCTGGGGCTGCAGCTGGGTGAGGTGAAGGTCAAGACCAGATCACCCTCCAAGGTGCAGCCCGTGTGCACATCTTCACCAGCCTGGCCCCAGGGACCCCCACGGCCTGGCCCAGCGCGCTGGCCCGCACGGAGACCGTAGACATTGAGGGTCGACTGTGTACCCCGAAGATTCCTGTGCTGGAGTCCGAACTCCCAGCACCTCAGAACATGGCCTGACTCGGGCACCGGGGCCCTGCGGGTGTGACAGGTAAGATGAGGCCATGCTGCAGTAGGAGGGCCCCAACAGTGCGACACACTGAAGTGACCGCAGTTCGGCAGGTCTGGTGTCCTGCAATGTCATTTGGACAGGCTGGCACATGCAGGGAGGGTGCCAAGACGGGCTGAGGATCACCTGCAAGCCGAGGACCCCTGAGAGCACCCGCAACCCCAGAAGCTAGGGCCGTACAGGAGCAGACTGCCTACCCACAGCCTGGCCTGGACTTCAGCCCCCAGGCCTGGGAGGCGATAGCTACTGTCCGGACCTCCAGTCTCGGCCCCTTGTTTCAGCAGCCCTGGGGGGCCCTGAAGCCGATGCCATGCGGTCCTCAGGCCCTGGCCATGTCCGTGTGGGACTGGAAGCTCTTCCTCTGGCTTCGGGCCCCGCATGTGCCTCTCGCCCAACTCCGACTTCTCACTCACCTTCGCCACGGGCTCAGGTTCCTTGGGGGGGACCCTACGTCTCAGTCGCTTTTCTCTCCGTCTTTGAACCAAGTTTTCCAGGTCAGCCAGGCTGTCCAGATTAACTCTGGAACTGTTAAATCTTTCCATCTGGGGCAGAGTAGAGAACCAGACCAGACATTAGCCACTGGCCTGGGAGCCTCGCCGGCCGGCTCTCAGCAAGTCTCATTCTCATCTGGTTGGACCCAGGGCCACAGACTACGAGGCCCTCACTCTCGGAACCTGCCCACCCCAGGCCTGCGCCCCCCGCCCCCAGCATCATGCTCACTTTCTTCTTCTTCTCCTCCTCCAACTTCAGCTTCTCCCGGGCTGCAGCCTCTTGGAGTCCTAGCCTCCAGTCACTGGGCCAGCCTCCGGGTTCAGGAACTCCGTGTCCACATCCCCACACTTTGCTTCCATCTCTTTCTCCACTTACCTGTAGGGACAGGATGTGGATAGTCAGGAAAACCAGAGGCACCCTTAGCAGATGGGTCGTGCGTCGTCACGTCGTCATGCCTGGGCAACCTCTGACAAGGGCTGTCGCAAAGACCGCGCTCTCCATCTGAGACTTGGCCTGACCCCTCCTCTCAAAGCCTCATGGCCATCTGGAGCCTCGGCAGGCTCCCTGACCCGTGGTGGCTGCTAGCTGCTCGGTCTCATCAAGGTCAGGGAGGACAAGCCCAGGGGAGCAACTGCCCGCTGCCCACCCTGCTCCTGTCCGCAGGAACATGGGCGAGGGATGAGGCCATGGCTATTTATACTGCTGGGCCGGTGCCCGGGCAGCCTCGGGACAGATGACACCTCAGCCTCCCTCGTGGGCTGTTGTCCTGCCAGATCACAGCGCAGTGCCACCTGACCCCGGCTCAGAGGGGCAGAGATGCAGCCTGAGGGAAATCCTAAGTCCCTGGGTCTAACTTGGCTTTTACAAAGCTGTATTTCTGCATCGGTAAAGTGGGCTCGAACTAGCATGTACTGAAGGGCTGGGGAGATGATGTGAGTTAGGGGGGCTTGTGCTTGGGGCAGCGCCTTCCCCAGGAGGGATCTGTCCAGCCTCCCCTTTGTGCCCCCAACCCTCTGGGAGCTGGGAATACCAAGCAATAAGCAGTCTGTGGGGAGAGGGGTCCGAACAACAGGGTAACAGCGCCCAGGGCCACAGCCAAGCGCCCCGAGAACCTGTTCCCAGCTCTGCAACCTCGTGCTTCCTGGCCCCTCCAGCGGAGGCTGCACTAGGCTGGGGCCAGGGGTGCTCCCAGGCAGTGACGTCTGGGGCCTCATCCCCTGCTGCACCTCTGCCCCACCTCACCAAATCCGACATCTCGGAGCACCCCGGAGCCAGCTTCTCCCTCTTCCCAGGCAATACGAGAGCACCTTTCCCTGTCCCCACCAACGGTTTCTGAGCAACGACCGTTGTCGCGGTGCTGAGCTAAAGAACCATGTCTCCAAGGCGACCTGCCACTTCCTGTCCCTCTGTGCCATCGCCATCGCACTCCGGGGCAAAACTATAAAACTAAAGATTGGCACGTCCACCGACTTCCTTCTCCCGCTCCCTTGCCCCTCACCACCTCGCCCTCAACGGCGCGCCTTTGCTCCTAACCTGACCCCGAGACCGCAGCAGCCACCCCAGCCCCTCCGCGGCTCTGCCACCGCCTGCCCGCTGCCGGCGTCCTCACCAACTGCCGAATGCTGACGAAGTCCATGGTCCCCCCTGCTCTGCGCACCCCAAGTGAGGGCAGCCCAGCCGCCCAGCCCTTTTATAGGAGCGCTGTCTCCTGGGGGCAGGGGCAGGGGAGGACAGAGGCCTGTGCCCGGCCAGATGACTCTGCGGCTCCATCACTCAAACCAAAATACCAGTCTGGGAATGTCGCCCGCTGAGGGCAGGAAAAGCCGTCTGGAGCTGAGTCGGCTACATCCTGAGACGCCCACGTCCTGAGCTTGCACTTCTGCCGTACCCCACACCTCAGGCGTCACCTGACCCACAGACACGTGTGCTGGGGTGCCTGGGCCACAGCCCAGCCTCAGGGGTGACACTGCCCGCTCTAAGTTTAGACCTTCCTGGTGGCACGAGTCCACCTGAGACTCCACGTGGCTGTGGGCTGGCTGCCCTAGTGTGAGGGGGCCAGGCTCCTGGCGGGCTTCGGGGAGAACAGAGGGACTGACTGACCGACTGCTTCGGGGAGCCTCGCGTGCCCATACGGGGACCCGCTGGTTCCAGGGCTGCCCTTCCTCCGGCTTCTGTTGGTCTTCCCCAGGGCTCCCCTACCAGCCCCTCGCTATGCCGAAAGGGAGCCAGGAGCCAGGCCTTGCCTGTCACCAGTCCTCATGCCTCTGGGAAAATCTCCCACACCCCCACGCAGGGAAGCCCTTCCCTTGGGGAGGGGAGAGAGATCTGCACCAGGTCCCGGTCAGGACCCGGTAGGAACGGAGCCCGCGAACCCAGCCGCGGGCCCCACGCTCTCACCTCCACCTCTCCTTAAAGAGCCACGCGTGCCCTTCACCCAGCTGGGCCTGAACTTGGCCTTGACCTTTCGAAGGAAATCAGTCACTGGTAAATAAGACTCCAGCCTCAGGGCACAGGGCACAGGGGACCACGGCAGAGCTGGCTTCTTGGGAGTGCTCGCCCATTCTGAGGGAACTTAGGGAAACCCAGCTTTGGCAGAAACTCTGCTCTGTGCTTTAGGGTGTTCATTTTCTCACACCAAGGTGCTTTCTTGCTTTTGATTATGAAGAGAGTCACCCAGACTAGAGGGAGGGCAGACGGACACGAAAAAGTCAGACTTCAACTCTGGCCCCTCCTCACTCCAGCTAAAATTCTCCCGCATTTGAGAAAAAGAGCATTTTACATCAACCGGCCTCCCCTGAAATCCTCAGCAGAAAACCGGTTTGTCCTCCATGAAACAAACTAGTATAACTCTGACCTAAGGTCCCTCGGGCTGGACTGTGGTGCAGTGGTTAAACGCGCTGCTCTGCGAGGCTGACCCACAAAGGAAGGTTCTAGGTTCCTGTGTGGAGGCCTTCCTGTGTACACCAGGCACCCGAGTGCCTACAACTGGCGCTGGCTGAGGTGTGGGCTCAATCACAGCACTAAGATCCTGCTGGGGAGGCCCGTCTGTCTCTTGCTCATGGAAGAAATAAACTAAAAAGGACTGTATAAAAACTCGAACAAGGATCAGCAGGTGGTATAGTGGTTAAGGCGCTGGACTCATACATGGCCGACCATGGTTCGAGTGCTGGACCTGGCGGCTTGAAACACACCAGGTGCATGTGCACGTGTGCCCAAAATCTCAAGAGAATGGAGAAAGGACTGTGGCATGACTATTCCCCCTGGTGGGTGACTTCTCACTTTCTAGCTCTCTGGCAAGCACACATGCCCTATACCAAAAATCTCCCTTGCAAAAATGGAAAAACAAAAAATCCTGAACATACGGGCTGGCCCCACAGCCTAGTGAGTAAGGGATGCCAGACCCCACATGGCCACAGGGGTTTGAATGCTAACACCAGCGGCTTGAAAGACATCCCAGGCGCATATGCCTGCCCCAAATCCCACAGAATGGAGAAACAGAGAAAGGATGCGATGTGACCAGGCCCCCTTGGGTAGTGATTTCTCCCCCTCCCTCTCCCTCTCCATCTCTCTCTCTCTAGTGAATGCATGTGCCCCTAGTAATTAAAAAGACAATAATAGGGACCAGCAGGTGGCGTGGTGGTTAAGGTGCTGGACATTCCCACATGGCTGACCATGGTTCAAGTCCTGCACCTGGTAGCTTGCTTTCTCATTTTCTCTCTCTCTCTCTCTGTGTCTCTCTCTGGTCAAAAGAAAATAAGTAAATGAATAAATAAAATAAATAAGTAATTCTTAAAACACACACACACACACACAATAACATAGGGGCCAACAAGTGGCATAGGGGTTAAGGTGGTGGACTCCTATGTAGCCGACTGCAGTGCAGATTCAAGACCCTGCAGTTTGAAACTCACGCCAGGCGCATGTGCATGAGTCCCCAAAATCCCGAGAGGAGAACGGAGGAGAAGGAATTGCAGCATGGCCATCTCCTCAGGGGATCATTTCTCACTTTCTATCTCTGTCTCTTTCTCTGGTGAGAGTGAAGCAACAATGACATCAACCTTTTCTTGAAGAGCCTCTTGCCACAGTGGCCCAGGGAAGCCCTGGGTGTCAGTGTCCTGCTCTGTGTGGTGCACGTGCACACACATGCTACTGCAGACACGGTTTGTCGTAAGGGGTGTCATCCTGCCACGACTCCACCCCTCCCACGGCAGCACACTGCTCCGCTACACCGCACCCAGCCTATGCCTGCAGAACCTCCCCATTCTCCACTGGGGAGCAGAGGCTGGCTCCATCTCTTTTTTTTTTTTCCTTTTAAAACATTACACCCCGCGCTGCAATGCACATCTTTTTTTTTTTTTTTTTTTTTGAGAGCTTTTTGCTATAGGGCGTGTGCGCTCGCCAGACAGACAGAGAGAGACAGAGAGATAGAAAGCGAGAAATCACCCCCCCCGGGGGGATGGCCACATCGCAATCCCTTCTCCTCCATTCTCCTCTCAAGATCTTAGGCAGGCACACCCACGTGCCCGGCCTGAGTTTAAGCCACCAGGTCCGGGACTTGAACCTTGGTTGACTACATGGGAGTCCAGCAATATAGTCATTTCACCAACTGCTGGTCCTGCAATGCACATCTTTATAAATGCCTCTGGAAATAAAGATCTTTGTATCCATGGATGAATGGTTCGGTACGTAGGTACAGAGAAAGCAAATTATTAGACTTACTCATTTAAATAGATCCTGCCAAAGTGACATCTAAGGTGGCTGTCCCGATTCCCACAACACACCAATGAATAAGTGACAGAACAAAAGAGAAAAATAAATAGTAAGAATGTATATAAAAATACATGTAAAACAAAGGGTCAATCATCAGAATATAAACAACCTCTGTGAACCAATGAAAAGAAAAAAATGTTTCCTCACTTCCTAGAGAGGCCGAGACAGGAGGACCACAGCACGTGAAGAACCTATCTTTGAAAACAAAATATATTCCTGTGCCAGCCGGTGACGTGCTGGTTAAGGAGGCTAGATCCCGCATGGATGACTACGCGGTTCGAGTCCTGAACCTGGACACTCGAAAATCACACTGGGAGTATGTACATGTATGCCCAAAATCCCAAGAGAAGAATGGAGACAGGACTGCAGGGTGGCCACCTCCCTAGGGGGTGCTTTCTTTCTTTCCTTATTGGAGAATTTTTTGCTATAGGGTGCATGCACTCGCCAGAGACAGAGAGACAGAAAGTGAGGAATCACCCCCCAGGGGGGATGGCCACGCCACAATCCTTTCTCTTCCATTCTCCTCTCGGGATCTTGGGCACGCACGCACACGCGCCCGGCATGAGTTTAAGCCACTGGGGCCGGGATTCAAACTGCGGTCGACTACATGGGAGTTCAGTGACATAGCCATTACGCTAACTGCGGGTCCCAAAATCATCTCTCTTAAAAAAAAAAAAAAAGTTTTTCTTTCAATGGACGTGGACAGGAAGTTCCCAGAAAGCAGATGTTCAGCCTCGGCAGTAGTTAGTGCTGCGAAACAGCAAATCGACAGCACCGAGCAGGCTGCACAAACAAGCACAGGGCAGTGTCGGAGACGCGAGCACACAACACCTCGCTTCTCTGGGCCAGGCAGGTACACTCACGTGCCCTGCACAGTCACCCATGCGGTGCTGTGACAACTGGGAGGCTGGCCCTGCTACGGTCATTCCCACCTCATCAATAAGTAAGCTGAGAGCCAGGTAACGTGACTTGTCACATATTCTGTATTTTCTTCTTCTTCTTTTTTTTTTTTTTTTTTTTAAGAGAGATGTTTTTGGGACCACAAGTTAGCGTATT